TTTCATCTTATTAGAAAAACAGTGCAAATGTTAATTGTATAGCAGAAGGACAATTAATAGAAGAAACGTGGTTAAACAGACTAGATAAAAACAGGAACAGATGGTAAATTCTGGTAAGTTTTAAAATTTTCTAGCACACCAACATGAATGCCTTGTGACTACTGAGAAAAAACACATTTTATTCCTTGGATGGAAAGATTTTTTGTTACTCATCCTAGACTAATTAGTGTATGCATCACTAATACATTGTTCATGAGACATATAGTAAAGACAAAAATAGGCAATGTAAACAACTCAGAAGGTCATACTGGTCCTGATACATAGGTATAACTTAGAAATTTTAGGCCTCTAGGCTCACAGAATTGCTGCTTGTCAATAATGATAAAAAGGGTAGTATAATAAAAACTCAAATGTGTTATTTGCATTCTGTGAAAACAATTTTTTAAAAATAAACTGATCTGTTTTTCTCTAGGACTTCCAAAAGCTTTTACTTCTAAGCATATGTTAGTATATTTCTTTAAATCAAAACAATAATGCTTCTCTCCGTATTTTACCTGCAACTTTCAAACTTAGAGGGTCTTTGGAGTTCAAGTTGCTCCCTTATTTATATCTATCATAGCCAAGTTAGGTTGACTGGTTGGTGGATGAAGACTAGATTTGATGGAATTAGAGATTTCGCACGGGTAGGTAAAATATTTGTGCAGAATGGACATTGAAGTTCCAAAACATTTAAGTTGCAAGCATATCCTGAAGCAAATGTAAATTCCTCTCTTCTACTCGCACAGGAGGTTACACAACGTGTGAGTCAACCTAACATGTAGGTTACCTTTGGAGATCAAATGGCTGCTATAAGCCAAGGGTTGCAGATGAAAATGAAGAAATATGGTCAGTAAGCAGTAGGGAGAACCTACCATCTGCCAGACGCCCTTCAGAGCCAGTTGTCCTGTTGCTTCTCTGGGTTGCATAGAGTTCCTTACCATCTATCTATTAAATAATTTTGTAAGTTAGTAAGCTTCTTGAGGCCAATTAATTGTCTCCATACTATCCACAGGCCAAAAACCATGAAGTCATAATTGAGGTTTTCTTTTTCTCTCATATACTACATCCAAGCTGTCAAGAAACCCTATTTGTTCTATCTTCAAAATATATCTAGAATCTAACCAGTTCTCATTGTCCCTGCTGCCAACATTTGAGCCCATGCTTTCGTCACCTCATACCTGAGTAACAATAGCCTTCCAAGTGTTCTCCCCACTACTACCTTTTCTCTCTTACGCATACCTAAACCAGAAGACAGACAAGCCTTTTAAAATGTAAGTCAGATCATCTTAGTCTTGGCTTGAAACGTTTCTCTAACTTTCCATTAGAGAAGAACTGACAATGGTTTACAAGGCCCCAAGTGCTTTGGCCGCATTCCTCTCTGTTCTTCTCCTCCCTCACCCTGTTCCTGCTACACTAGCCTCCTTGCTGTTGCCAGAAAGTGCCAGGAATCTGCCCTTGCTAGGACATTTGAAGTGGTTGCTCTCTCGCTTTCTCAAACCTTTGCTGGAATTTCACCTTCTCAATGAGGCCTTCCCTGACCACTCTATATAAAACTGAAGCCAGCCTTCTAGTTCTCCTTACCCTCCTCTACTTTTTCTTTTCCCATGGTATTTATCACCATCTAACAACAATTTCATATACTTGTTTATTACATATGTTGCAAATTATCTCCTGCTCCTAGATAAATGCTCCATGCACGTGTTTTATTCACCTACACGCCTGACAGCACAGCAGTGCCAGCAATGCCTGGCACACAGGAGATGCACAAGAAATATCTGTTGACTGAATGAATTACCATAAAACACTATTTTCATTGTGACTCGTAAATGATGTATTTATACACCATCATATTTCTAGACATTACGAAGACATTGCTCGAGCTAGATTTTCTCAGCACCTAAACATACTCCTGCATGGTAAATCAGGAATCCCTATATATGGCATTTACTCTTTCAAGTCATCATGGTGTAATTTTTAAAGACTTCAACATATTTGTTTTTTAAAATAGAAAGTTTACTTTTTCCTGCTAGGGTACCTTTCTAAATTTCTTTGGCTGAGTCCTAAGCATTCTATAGATACAGCTATAGATATTTTATTCCTCCATTCATCTGTACCTATAATGACTCAGGGAAACATTCCCACCAAAAGCCTGAAGCATGCTCAGCCCTTTGGAAGTCCTAGTCATCATTCCAATGGTTATTCCTTTGTTGTTGTTGTTGTTGTTTTGAGACAGAGTCTTACTCTGTCGCCCAGGCTGGAGTGCAGTGGTGCGATCTCAGCTCACTGCACATTCTGCCTCCTGGGTTCACGCCATTCTTCTGCCTCAGCCTCCCGAGTGCCCAACACCACACCCGGCTAATTTTTTGTATTTTTAGTAGAGACGAGTTTTCACCGTGTTAGCCAGGATGGTCTCGATCTCCTGACCTCGTGATCCTCCCTCCTCGGCCTCCCACAGTGCTGGGATTACAGGCATGAGCCACCGTGCCTGGTCCCTAATGATTATTCTTACTCCCATTTCCTCAGCTGCTTCCACAGAACAGACCTGGAGCCTCTGCCCCCTTGCTTCAAATCAACAACTGTGATTTTCATCATCAGTTATCACTAACTGATATGTTCTTGTTTATGTCCTTTTTTGTATTTTTTATCACTATGTGATGTTGTCTATGCATTTTTATTTGCTTATTGTTCATCTGCACTTCTTACACAAACTCTTCACAGAATTTAAGTTCCTTGACAGCAAGGATCTTGTCTGTTATCCACTGCTATATCTCAGAACCTAGCACCCTCTCTCAAGGCGTGATGAGAAGAGAGTCTATCCGAAGACATCCGACAAGCAGTAATCATTTTGATTCATTAGAGCTTGCAGGAAAGCATTCGCAAATAAACAAAGGGCCAAGGGCCATGAGCCTTCTATATACCCACACATAGAATTTCATCACAGGGAATGAGAGGCCAGCTTTCCCACAGCAAGGATATATTTAGTGGTCCTTGTCCTTTCTCTTTCCTCTCTTTTGAACCATTAGCTTGACTTTTAAGCATTATACCTCTCTCATGTAGCCCCTCCCTACAAAGCCACAACTTCCTTTGCAAAAGTAATTATGAACATCTTCCTCTTTCACACATCTCTCTCCACCCTGGCACACACCAAAATACACTGATTGTCCCTGCATAAGGCTACTTGAAAACTTGCTGTATCACCATTTACTACATTTTTCAGGCTGTCTACAATTTTTAGTGCAGTGTAGTCTTTCTTATCCATTCTCTTTTTACAAGCAAGTTGCCATCACTTGTCCAGTAACACTAAAGTACACTTAGAATTATGCATTTCTTCAAGGGAAGACAGGTGAGCCGTACTCTGCCAGATTCTCGTCTGTAAAGGATGACCTTGAAAAGTCCTGGAGAAAGTGGCTTCTTCATTCCTACGTGTTTCACCTCCACTGTGCATGCTCACAAAGTAAGCCTTAATGCCACGGACCATCGTACTTTTCAAGCATCATTGCATAGGGAAGAGACACTGCTTTCGCTACTGCCCTAGCCAATCTTAAATAAGGTAAAGAAATACTACAAGTTGGGACTGTAAATGAAGAGGTATATTCTAAGGGCAAAAATCAATTTCCATGGAACTGAGATACCTGCCTCATTTAAGGCAACCATATGACACACGGGTTCACAAGTGTTCTCAAAACTTCATTTACTCCCGCAGGTAAAACAAAGCTGTAGCTATAGTTAAGGCTTGAGCTGCAGTTGCTTCTGGAACAAGAAATAGAACCAAGAAAATATCTGCAAAGACGCACTTGAAATGGACATTCAGACTCTATAGTTTTTTAAAGCAGAGGCAGCGTTGCTTCTTTCTCCAGCCAGACCCCAGATACCAGTGCCTACCAAAGGGTCCTATACTGTTAGGCTTTGTGGGAAGTTAGAGATCATATTATCCGGGGGCACGGACTACGGACTATCTCCCAAACAGACAAAGAGAAGACATCTCAGTAGGGAATTGAGTCATCTTGGGAGCTGGGAGGAAGATGGGTTACACCTTGACAATGGTCTGCAGCAGGAAGATCCATCACCCATTATGCCCTAGCGCACTCACCCATACTCACTCATATTCCCCCAGGGGTGCTCTGATGCGACACTGTCCACGGGCTGCACACTCCTCAGGTCTAATTAATGATGCCCACCCTCCCCACCTACTAAACACATTTGCAATTTAAGCATCTCTAGCTCTCCACTACCACCCACCTTTCTCCTCCACTGTCCCTTCCTCTCCATGGAGATAATTAACTAGTTAACTACTTATTAGTCCTTCAGTTGATTAGGATTTCAGGCTCACACTAAGGCCTTATCCTAAAGTCGATAAGGATTTGTGACACCGACAGGGAAAAAATTCGAAACCAGCTAGCAAAACTTTCCTGAAGGATAGAGATACTCAAAATCTAAAAATTATCTTAAGGGTTGGATTCCATACCATGAATCCCCTTTTCCTCCTTCCCCACAGCTCCCTATAGTGAAAGATAGGTAACCTTAAGAATAAATGATAAATCCTGTGACAAGGTTTTTCATGAGAGTTCCTCGGGGACCCGGAGGTAACCGTGTATGTGCGTGCGTGTGTGTCTGTGTGTGTACAAGGTCCGGAGAAGCGAAACGGTGGCAGGTTCCTACAGACCCCGACCCTGTTCCCTTGGCCACCTGGTCCCGGGTAGCTGCATCCCTGGGCGGCGCACGCAGGGAAGCGTCGCGCTCTGGCGCCGGTGCGGCACCGAGGGGTATGACTGCGACCCCCTGCGCGCGCCCGCCCCCACCCCCGCACCTCGCGCCCGCCCGCGCAGCGTGACCGGCAGCCGCCGCAGACCCGGTTCGGGGAGGCGCGGAGCGCGGCGCGCTGAACCGGAGAGGCAGGCGGGCGGGCTGCTGCCTTGCGTCCGCCACGCTGTCCTCCCTCCTCCGCTCCCTGCGCCCCACCCCTGGCGGCCGCGCTGCCTGGCAGCCCGGGAAGCCGCGGCACAGCTGCTTGGCGCCTGCAGCTCCGGCTCAGGGACTGCAACTGAAGCGGGGGCGGCGGGAACGCGGAGACCACAGCCCCCGGGGAGAGGCGGAGGGGGTCCCTGGCCTGGGCGGAGAGGCTGAGCTGAGTGCGCGTGAGAAAGAGGGCTGCACCGCTGCTCGGCGCGGACTCTGCCAGCCCCAGCGCCAGCCCCGGCTCAGGTCGCCGCAGCCCGGGATCCTCCCCGCTTGCGCCCCAAGGCACGCGCGGCACAGCCATGAACACCAACGATGCCAAGGAGTATCTGGCCCGGAGGGAAATCCCTCAGCTTTTTGAGGTAGGGGCTACGGCTGGCCGACGGGCGGGAGCATCCGGGGACTGCATCTCGGGGGTTCGGGGTGAGGCAGCCGCGCCCCGTCCCACCTTCCCCACGCGGGGCATGTAATTGAAGGGGCTTGCAGAAGCGCACTCGCCCGCTCGCCCGAGGGTAGTCGCCTTTCCCGCGGGTTGCCAGGGTCCTTGTCAGATGGCTGGGCTTAGAAGCCTGCATCTTAGAGATCAAGTTTCAGTCTTCCAGCAGGGTTCTGAAAGCAGCCTGCCCCCATCGCGCCCCTCGGATGTGGACACCCAGGGTGGGCTCCAGACCGCGGCCGGGCTGCGCTCTCTGGAGGCGAGGGCCAGGCCAGGTGGCTGCACTATCTCCCAGCAGCGAGTAAAGATTCGAAACTGAGGGATCCAGAGCCCTAGTCACTCTACTTGTCCAGGGTTGGAACCCCTGGGGGAAGAGGAAATGTGGACGAAGGCAGCCCTCCCCGGAGACAGCTTGGAAGAGAGAGATGAAGATGCAAAAAGCAAAACCCAACCTATCGAGTGCCACCTCCCCGGTGACAGGCCCCCAGCGTTGCTCTGCGCTTTCGCTGAATGAACTCCTGAGCACGTTTTTCCGTTGCCTAGGAAGGGTTGGGCCGCAGGTTTCGCCAGTGCTCGACAACCCACCTGGAGATAGCAACTCCTGTTGCTCAGTCTTCAAACCGAAGCACAGCATCATCTGCACCGGGACCCAGAGTGGGGGGAACACTTGGGGACTGAGAGAGAGGAGGCTTGAGGAATGAACCTTAGTCGGTTCTAAGCCACAGCCCCTGTCTCAGGTCGTTTTGGCTTCCTTTCCTTCTCTTCGTATTTGAATTTAAAAACATTCCTGAATCTCAAGTGCTTTTGCTTGAAGTGGGGGGAGGAGGAGAAAAGAATAGAAGCAAGCCAAGCTTCCTAAGCGAGCTCTGAAAGGGGAAATCCATTCTCTGCAAACCTCGTTCCCATTTCTGAAAACTGATAGACTGATATCGTAAACTAAAGGTCATGAGGGTTTTTTCCCCCCGATTTGAGGGATTTGTTCTGTTAAAAGGAATTTTAAAGCACCACTGGAGAAAATAATTTTGCCTCAGTTTCCCTAAACTGTCTTTAAAATGGGTTGCCATAATTACAGATCTTCTTTTCTCTCACCTCTATAAGCCACCGTTTTCAGGTCATCTGAAGTCAAGATTTCCAGGTGAAGCATTCACTGAGCTCAAGCGTGGTATGTGAAGCCCAAATCTAGCAAATGTGTTACTCCTGCGTGAAAATAATTAGGTGGTGTTGCATAAGGACAGGTCTTGAAAATGTGTGGGAATCTTAAGAGTTGTTCTTTTTTGGTTTTAATTTTCAAAAAGTAAATATGGAAATTAAGAGGCGAAGTTTTTCTCACAAAGATTACTACTGAGATATATTTCATTTCTACGCTTCTGAAAGAATCATTGAAAACATCTGTAGGAGGACCACGTGATTGCAAAAATTCCTACATAGTACATCTTTTTGGTTTATAAATGTGGGTACTGTTTTTCCTCCTTGGTGGAAGGTAACCACAGAGAATTTTGATAGTTTATTAAAATCTACACCGTGTATGCAAATAAGTTATGGCAGGCCTTTTTGTTAAGGTTTTAGGTTTTTTATTTACTTTTCTGCATATGAATGGGATAAATAATGCACACCCAGAAAAGGAAGTCAACTTGCTTGGGTGAAATACAGTAATGGACTTAGATTCACTTCTGGACAGTAAGATGTAAGTAGACTGCTGGTGACCTCCAAAGGCTACATCCTTCAGTAAGACGAATCTGTGCTATGCGCAGCTCAAGAGGGAAGGAAAATCTGGCAGTTCTCCATGTGATGAGTGTAGACTGTAAAACTAAATACTTTAGGTTTTTAAAATGGATTTTGCCCACCACAATATTCTAAGTGTACAAAGTTTAACAATTAGCTATCTACTAAACACCAAGACATTGGCCCCAGCTGTGGATATTAGAGGCCATTATAGACAAATTGATTATCGTATTGACATATTTTCAGACAAGTAAATATATCTAACTGACCTTTTCAGATTTTTTCCTAATTTGAGACATCATGTAAGCCAAATGGAATATGGGATATCTCTGGTAGGTTCATTTTTGAAATGTGTTTCCGGTTTTAGACTTTTTTAAAACCACTTTCTTATTATTTTGTCATGAGTTCTTAATTCTGGCTAACTTTATGGTGTGTATATTGATCTTGTACCTTACAGCAGAGATTTGGCAATCAATTTGAATACTGTGGAAAGTCAAATTAGATTATTCAAGGTCTCAAAGGGTTCACTCAGAGACTGAGCAATAATATGTGCTGGTTGTCTTCAATCCCTGAGAGTGGCTGGCTGTTAGAAAAAACGATCTGAATTATCCATGAAGGAATGGAACTCATTGCCCTATTTTAAAATCAATGCCCTTTGGAGAACCAGTTTTGTTTAAGGACGCTGGAAATGTATATTTTCAGAAAAGAGTCATTGAGTGTGTTCACCTATTTCAGGCAATAGTAGGGATTAAAAGAGGGCATTTTGCAGATGGCACAGAGAATCTCATGTTTTCTTTTATCTTACACCACATTTCTGCAACAGGTACAGAGAAGAACATATGGGTTTTGGAATCAGAAACATTGAATTGAAATCCTGGGCCTAGGTGTTTCTAGTTGAGTAAACTGGAGTAGTCACTAACATCTCTGAGTTGTGATTTCCTAATCTATAAAATGGGGGTAATAAAGTCACACAGGGCTGAGAATGCACTGGGTATGCAAATAAATATATGACATAGAGGCTTTTATTTATTAATAAGATTAATACTGGCTTGGCATATGGGAGAAATGTGAGAAGCTCAACTGCAATGTGTGTGTATATAGGACAGATTTTGACAAACAAACTGGATTGGATGCCCTGGTAGTTTTTTCTGCTCCCTCTGCAATTGAACTTGGCTGATAGAGGTGCACACTCTAGCTTACTCTATTTAGGATTTCAGAAAACAAACGTACCTGGTGAGAATTGCCTACCATTCTGAGCAAATTACACAGGAAATAATTGAAAATAAAATACTGTATTTAAACAGATGTCAGCCCTTCAAAGGGTGTTTTGTATGCTAACAATGTATATTGGTAAGAATAATCCTTTATGCTTTTTCCATGAAATACTCCAAAGGAAAATATTTTGTACATCAGTCCAGCTTCCAGGAATCAGCATTTCCAAACTGGTGGCGTTTTTAGAAACTAGTACCAGTGACACATCAGACACCATGAACCATGAAAGCAATAGCAGGATCATGCCTTTTTTCCTTCCCCATCTGGAATCTTAGTGGATATTGTAGTGACCTACTCTATGTCAAACAGTAATTTTTTTTTTTTAGTCTCACTTAGATTTGAGCTTTGAGGGATTTTTTTTCCAATTGGAAAACAGTTAAATATGCACCTACCAAATGTCAGGGAAAGCATCAGTATCTGGGGATTGAAAAATGAATGAGACTCACTCTGTGTTGTCGAAGAGCTTATAATTTAGAAGAGAGACCAATGCATAACCCAATGGTTTCAGTATAAATGACAAACAAGTATAATGTTTTATGCTGGATACCTGAGAACACGGAAGAAGGGGTTCACAGACCAACCTAGGGATTCAGAGAAGACTTCCTGATAGTAATAATAACTAAAACCACCAACAAAGTTTGTTTGGCACTTACTATGTGCCACGCAGTTAATGTGCACTGTACAAATATGAAATTATTTAATACTTTAAAAACTCTATGAGGTATTTATTATTACCCCCATTTTATAAAAGAAGAAACTGAGGTTTAGAGACATAAAGGGTGGGTAGGAGTGAGACAAATAATGACTGGGGCATTTTCACATGCTGCATTTTATCTCACTGTGATAAAGTGAACGGCTCTTCCATTTTAAACTATCTAGTTGCCTGAATTGCTTAAGAGGCAGAGAATGCTGAACTGAAAACTAATTAGGCAAGAATTTAAGGGATTATCTTAATGACTCCATCAGATTGTAATTTCAACTCTAACTGTTTATTAAAAGGCAAATGCAAAGAACAAAAACAACCAGAATCCAAAGATGAGCCATAACACTATTTTAACAAAGGTGGGTGGGGCCACGTGCGGTGGCTCATGCCTGTAGTCCCAACACTTTGGGAGGCCAAGGTGGGTGGAGGCCGAGGTGGGTGGATCGCTTGAGGTCAGAAGTTCGAAACCAACCTGGCCAATATGGTGAAACCCTGTCTCTACTAAAAATACAAAAAGTAGCTGGGCATAATGGTGTGCACCTGTAATCCCAGCTACTCGGAAGGCTGAGGCAGGAGAATCACTTGAACCAAGGAAGTGGAGGTTGCAGTGAGCCAAGATTGTGCCACTGTACTCCAGCCTGGGCAGCAGAGTGAGACTCTATCTCAGAAAAATAAATTAAATTAAATTTTTAAAAAAACAAAGGTGGGTTGAAAAGTATTTGTACATATTTTGTTATATTTCAGAGCCTTTTGAATGGACTGATGTGTTCTAAGCCTGAAGACCCAGTAGAATACTTGGAAAGTTGTTTACAGAAAGTCAAGGAACTGGGTGGCTGTGACAAGGTGAAATGGGATACATTTGTAAGCCAGGAAAAGAAGACCTTACCTCCGCTAAATGGAGGACAGTCACGGAGATCCTTTCTAAGAAATGGTAATGTATATGGAGAATAATAGACAGTTTTATAGTTATAGCAATTCTCTTTAAAACATGCCATATAGACTATACACAGTGATTTCATTTTTTGAGTTTATAAATGCCTGAAGTCCTTGGATCATGATTAATTTCTCTCTGCTACTAATCCTAATCACTTCCATAAAAAGACAAACAAAATTACACACCGTTGTCCAACAATTCACTAGAGGCTTAATGAAATTTTATATTACTGACTTCATTATTTTGCAAAATAAATTACATTAGCAAACCATACATACATTTTTCTTAAAATTGCAAATAAGATTTCTCACAATAAATGAATAGAATAGAGGTATAATTGGTAGTTATTGCATAGCAGTTCAGCATTTTTTTATTAACTAGAAAGAGATTTGGCTTACTAATGTTTCCAAGTTCAGAGTTCATAATAATGCATCTGCATAAATGCATGTGAAGTTTATACTAGTGATAAAAGAAAAACTTCAGCCAAATTAAATCTAAAGGAGTTTAATTGAGCAACAAACAATTCATGAACTGGGCAACCCCCAGAAACACAGCAGATGCACAGAGAAACCAGTGCAGCCATGTGGTGGAAGATTTATAGACCAAAAAAGGGAAATGACATACAGAAATCAGAAGTGAGGTACAGAATGGCTGGATTGGTTACAACTTAGCATTTGCCATATTGAACACAGTTTGAACGCTCAATCGTGTATAAATGGTTGAAGTACAGCCGCTGGGATCGGCCAAGACTCAGCTATTGTTACAGGTGCATACTCCTAAGTTAGGTTTTCAATCTTGTCTGCCTATTAAGCTAGGTTGCAGTTTGTCCGCAAGGACTCAAATATAGAAGTATGGAGTCCTTCTCAGGTCATATTTAGTTCACTTTAATACTAGTTAATTCAATAAAAAAATTTTTAAGCATCTACTGAATGCAATGTATTAATTAATACATTAATCTAGGAATTTGGGTGCTATAAAAGAAGTTGGAAAAGTAAACTTGTTTAAATTTTAGGAGTTGTTTAGAACTAAAAACTGTAGTTCATTAGAGAAGATTCATGGTGTTTTGATCTCTTTCTGAAACATGTGCTTATCAAAATTAGGGGTTCAACATGAGCCAACCAGCCTTTCAACTTCTAGATGAAGTTGAGACATATAATAGTATGTGCAAATTGGAATCAGCTCAAATCAGGGGAAACTAAATTCTGTTCTAGTGGCCAAGATCATTACATTTTCAAAACTGAAACCATTCTCAAAAATTATACAACAAAATGTTTGTGCTATACAGACAGCATCTGAAATGGAGACAATTCTATCTGCAATGAATATAGGCAGGAAGCAAATCTTAGTTTGCTTAACCTTATTAGTCATGACTCACATAGATTTTATTTGAATGCAGTGTGGGAAAAAGTCATAGTGTGCTAATTTTCAAGGAACACAAGCAAAAGAAGGCAAACAGAAATAGATTTTCCTAAGAAACATCTCTAAAGAAAAGAGTCCTTCACCATTCATGCAGAAGTCAGTGATATGACCCTGACCAAATTTCCCAGTGCTGCTGAGAAGTAATGAGATGTCTGAAGTTGCTATTTAAAACCAATTTTACAAACTTTCAAATGTTATAATGGACCAAAAAACAGAAAAATAGCTAGAAAATTTTTGGTGTGACTATAAGGTAATGAGATTAGCACTCTGAGTCTTAGCAATTAATCTCATTACCGTGCAAGGTCTCTCACCGCTGTCCGTCTTACATAGACAGGAGGTAAAATAACACTCAGTACAAAATAAGCCATGTGGTTACATTCTATGGGAAGTCCTAAGGTAAGGTTGTGTCTTTATATACTTACTAAATCAAATTTGCACCAAATATTTTGATTTGACCTTTAGGACCTTACAATACCAAAGAGATTTTTCTCTTGCCATACAGTCTATTCATAGACCCACGTTCTGGTTTGATAACCAAGCAGAGTCCCAGGTATAAAGTTCACTCTTTGTAAATCAGCAGGATTTCTGGTTCACTGAGAACAGCCTGATACACAGAGTAGCAAATGAACAGAATTGGAGTTTAGAACTCCAAACTGTGCAGACACAGCTTAGATATGCCCTCTCTGTGGGCAGCGGGTACTCATGGTTGTATCTTTAGCCAGTTGCTGCTGCAGCATACCACTTAGTACATTACTACTTTGGTGAATAAATGATATTTTTGTGGGCTTGAACAGTTCATACACATCCCCAACATACGGGAAGCTTACTTCCCAGGGTGTCATCATACTTAATGTCTGGCTCCCTGTTAAATACATACCCCGTACTCTTGTTAGATCAAGCAAGGTAAATATGGGAATCTGCTTTCTAAACCTTAAAGTACTAATAAACTTCAGGTATACATTTTAAAAATTAAATCTGAGAAGCTATGACATCTACTTAGTCGGACGCTGCTCTGAGTGGGTGTAAAAGTGACTGCAACAAAATGAAATCTTGATACTTCTATTTGATACTTTTTTATATTGTTACTTGGCCTGATTGTACATAGAAGCTAGGCAGGTCATGTGTCAATAGAGAATGGTAAGGACTGTGGCCAAACTAGAGAGCAGAGCTAGAGAGAACAATCATTGTTTAAAGACAGTTAAGTACTAATTTTGCAAAAATGTCCAGCTGAACAAAACACATCTGTGGGGCTATGTTGGGTACACAAATTGTGAGTTTGGAATTCCCAATCTAGCAGGATAAGCTAAAACAAGAATGGAAAATGTAGGCTTAATTTTCATTAAAATAAGATTGCATGTTAATTTTAGGTTCTCCATACCCACTGATACTTTACCAAAATTCCCACACGGGGATCTTTTAGTTAATCATCAAATACAAAATTTTCATATACCTATGGTGGTAAGAATGTGACATCACATGGTCTTGTATCTGAAAGTATGCTAAAAAGCGGAAAATGATTTCTAAACTGGTCCTGTATTCTATTTTATGAAATACTTTATTCATTTGTGCTTTGAAGGTTTTAGTTGCAATGTGTGGAATCGTTTATTACATTCAACAAAATTCCTAACTGCCCAGTATCTTAAAGCATAGTGATTATTTCTAGAAATGAGTGATTCATGCATTTTTTGTAAAAATATTGCCTTAGCTATGTTAATGTGTTATTACTATGAAAAATTATTCTGTGAAATGAAACATTTTCATCATCTAATCAAGTTACTTTCCTAAGTTAAAATATGATAAAGCAAGGATTAAATTATTGGCTGACTGTCTTTAAAGCATTAAATATGAGGTAAGCATCCCTTTCTTTCTGCCACATGCATACAATTGAATAATTATCTGTAAATAAGAGTTCTAATCCCATAACCCCAAACATTCATAGAGCCTGTCTTCCAGAATATCTCATTATCTTATATTCAACATGTCCAAAACCAAACACACTATATTTATTTCAAAACCAGCACTTACTTCTTTTCCTGTTTCCATGAAGTCAGCCGGTAAGTCAGTTGGGCAATAAATTAACCATTTATTGAGTACTACTATGTGTCAGACATTCTTTTAGGACTGAAAATCCAACCACCAGGAAAGAACAGACATGGCACCTTCCTTTGGGGACCTTACAGCCTAGCAGTGAAGTCAAGCAGCAGGAATATAAGCAGGAGCACAATGGCACCATAGGAAAATCGTATGCTAAGGAATTAACCATGTTAACAAAGGACTGAATCTAACCTAGCTGGGGTTCAGGATCGGCTTCCTGGAAGAGGTGATGTGCTTATATTTGGAGCCGAAAGCTAAGTGTGTGTTAGCTAGAGAAGGATGAAAGAGATTGTACCAGGGAACAGCGAAGAGAAGTTCCTGAGGCAGACAAAGAGGCTGTAATTTGGTTAGGAATGAGAGAAGTCCAATATTGCTGGAGCAGAAAAGAGAGGGCAGAAAGATACTATATGAAATGCAGTATGGTCCTTGTCCTTTTAGACTTGAAACCTGGAAATTGTTTTTGAACTGTCACCGCCTTTCATTTCTCGTATTCCAACCCTAATCGCATCCTTCAGATCTGGCCATCCATTTCCGTTTCCCCTGCTACCACTCTAGCCTAAGCCTTCATTTCTCATCTGTTGATTACTTTAACAGCCACCTAGCTGCTACTGTTTCTGTTCTTAGTCTTTCCCTGCTCCAATTCATTTTAACTAGCAGATTAACCTTCCTAAAACATGTATTTCATTTCATTGTTTCCTTTCTCTTACCAACCCTCCCCTGCAAATCCTCCACTGGCTTTCTACTAAAGCTAAACCCTTTACCATGGTAAAGGGTTCAGGGACCTCCACATTGAACCACGCTCTGCCCACCCATTTTATCTTCTGAGTTTTCTCTATGGGAAACTATTTCAGTAAGATATTCTTTTTATTATTAATTCAACAAATATTTATTGGACACTGACCATCTGCCAAGCACAGTTCTAGATCCCAAGGATACAGAGCTCCAGACCATAGGTAAGGCCCCTGCTCTCATGAAACTTATAATCCAATTGGAGAAGACAAACAATGAATGAATGGATAAATGAAGAAACTCTCAGATGGTGAAGTAGGTGCTGTGCAGAGCATTAGAGTGATGTCCCTGAGACTCACTAGGAGGCTGCACTAGATTAGAAAGTCAGTAAAGTCCTCTTGCAGGAGGTGACCTTTAAGGTAAAGTGTCAATGACAAGAAGCAGTCAGCCATGGGAGAAACAGGGGAAGAACATTTCAGGCAGTTGATTGTGGTGGCAAGCATGGAAGCAGGTAGATCAGTAAATAGTCTATTATGATATTCCAGGTAAAATATGATGATGGCTTTGGAAGAGTTGTGATAGTAGAGATGGAGAGAAGCATATGCATTTGGTATATGTTTTGCAAATAAAGTATTGGGAGTAGATGTGCAGAGAGAGGGAAGAAAGTAACCAAGGATAATGTTTCGAATTTTGTCTAATGTTGGATGAACTGATTAAATTTCAAGGCAGAGCAGGATACTGTTGTTGGTGCTTTTCCTGATGTAGCCCTTCCCAGATCTTTCTAAAAGAGATCTACTGTCATCTGCAGACTACCCAGTGCTTTTCATGAAGCTAAAATGAATCTAGTGGGTCCGTGGTCAATGGCCTTATTTATTGTATCAACAGAGAATGGAAAGTTCTAACAGATCAACATCCCTGGGAGGAGATGTGAGCCTTATGCCATGCTAAGATACGGTAGTCAGCAGAATTCCTCATGGAAGGCCAGGTGGCCTCCTGTTTGCTTTGTGCGAGTGCCTTTTGGGCAGTTAGTGCTTCTCTGTGCCTCCTGGAATACTGACACCTGAGGTAAAGAAGAGGGAGCCATAAACTGTATATCAACAACTGGTTGAGACCATCTCCCTAGTTTGGACTTGCCAGCCCTGTCCTCTGGTCCTTTTGAGTATGTCATTTGAATTTCTGACTCGGAGTCTTCGTACTGTTCCCACCAACTAGGTTATATTTCCTGCATTTCATCACCTGTGCTTGTCTTTCAAAGTTCAGGTCCTGCCTCCTTTGCAAGTCCTTTCTTACCACTGCAGCCCAAATGTAATTCATTAAATTACTGTGGTGTTTATCAGAGAGATACTCATTTTACCACTTATCATGACTGGTGTTCATACAGCTATAAGATATAAACATATAAGCTCTAGTTTATAAGCACTGAAGGGACAGGACTACATCTTATTCTTATACTAAATTACTCTTAACACACTAACATATCTGGCGTGTTATAAACAGCAATAAATAGCAAGTATTTGTTGCCATTATAGATACAAACTTAAACTTTTACATCTTTAACTCAAGTAGATTAAAAATAATAAGTAAATTGATAAAGTAAAACTAGATGATGTTATAAGATATTCCAGTTGTAGGAATTATTGCACCCTCCTACTGACCGTGACAGTACCTTAATTTTTTATTCATTATGCCACCAAGCTATTCCATTAGATCACAATAGCATTTCTGGGTCATAGTAAGCAGCTTATCTATATTTGTTGAATGAATGAAATACACAATATATAAGCATTAGCTTTATGGACAGGCAGCTGCATATGCTTGTGAAGGTTATGTACTACATAACTCCAGAGAGCACCATTTGCAGAGGCCACGATGTATGCAACCTACCAAACAAAACTAGGTAGTATCTGAGAAGGTTCCTTTTAGGGCAGAGGGTGGTAAAGTTTCATGAGCCAAGTTCATCTCACTGCCTGTTTTTACAAATGAAGTTTTATTGGAACACTGGCACACTCATTTGTTTATTATATTGTTTATGACTGCTTTCATACTACCATGGCTAAGTTGAACAGAAACTGCACGGCTCACAAAGCCCAAAATATTAACTATCTGCCCCTTTGTGATAAAGCCTGCTGACCCCTAAGGGAGACTTCTTCCAGTTGAGAACAAAACAAACCCATTTCATTTTAAAATTGCTTTTACTAATTGTTTAAGTGTGAAGAGTGTTTTATTATGGTGTTTTTTCCTTTTCAAAGTTATCTTACTCTTTTGCAGTAATGCCTGAAAATTCAAACTTTCCATATCGGCGGTATGACCGGCTCCCTCCAATCCATCAATTCTCCATAGAAAGTGACACGGATCTCTCTGAGACTGCAGAGTTGATTGAGGAGTATGAGGTTTTTGATCCTACCAGACCTCGACCAAAAATCATTCTTGTTATAGGTATGAGGACAGAAAGCAAAAATTCTCATACTGTTGCTACCTTTGTTTATATATTTACATTTCAAAAAAGTAAATTGTGTATTATATGTGCAAACACTTAGTTGGATAATGACAATCAATAGAAACAAAAGCTCAAGGGACAATAAATGGAGATATTCTTAGTATAAGTTGCAATAAAATGAAAATTGTTATAATTATATAATCTAATGCCTATTGCATTTTCATAGATTCCCATTAAAATGTCATAGAAAATCTCTATAATGAATTGAAAGTAATACCTTCAAGATTTATTGTCCTGTGGTTTTATGTATTTAATCTTGATCACAGATAACTGAGCCAGTTGAAGTTTTCTAAGAGCTGGATGTGGTGGTAGTCCCAGCTAGTAGGGAGGCTGAGCCAGGAAGATCCCTTCAGCCCAGGAGTCCAGCCTGGGCAACATAGTGAGACTCTGTTTCTAGAAGAAAAAAAGAAAGTCTTCTAAACATGATGTGATTTTTACCCCTTTGAACCAACAAATTAAATTTTTACTCACTATTAACTTTAGAGGGAAAAATAAATAATAATATATTGGTAAAGGTTCATATAAATGAATCTTCTTTATGGCAGATTGGCACCTGTAATAAATCCAAAGTTTCATTGTTAAAAGACAAACAAATCTAATAGAATAGTGTTTTACATAGCACATAACATCTGAGTATTAGCCAAAATAACAATGATGATAGTTCATTTTAAAAGTTGCCACTATGAATCTTATGTTGAATATGGAAATATCAGCTCCATGACATTTCACAGGAATAGAAAATGAAAATGTTTTAAATATTTTTGAAAAATTCCTTTTTGGTCAAGGAGGGAGGATCACTTGAGCCCAGGAGTTTCAGACCAGCCTGGTCAACATAGCAAGACCCTGTCTCTACAAAAAATTTTAAAACTTAGCTGGGTGTGGTGGCACACACCTGTAGTCCCAACTATTTGGGAGGCTGAAGTGGGAAGATAGCTTGAGCCCAGGAGTTCGAGGTTGCCGTGAACTCCACTGCACTCCAGTCTGGGTGACAGAGAGACCTCATCTCGAAAAAAGAAAAAAAAAAGTTTGACTATTTTTGCAAATTCTTTCTCAAAATCTATAAAAATCATGAAGAGACCTGTGAACATGCAACATGTAGTCATTGTTTCATATTCCAGTTAGAATCACCTTTCACAGAGATGACCAAAAGCAAAACTCTGGCATGAAATGTTCAAAGCTGTTCTAGCTGGTTGCATTAACAGAGTGCCAGATTTATAGAGACCCCATGCAAGGAAGTAGTAGTGCTCCAGAGGACATAGCAATGTTGACAACTAGGAAAAAAGCATGCAAATAAACACACCAAGCTATAACAAGAATTTAAGCTCACTAGACTAGAAGGAATGACATTTGTATATTTTAAAGTGAAATGAAAATGAAATTGCAAATATATCTAGCCCTGAATTGTTAAAGACAAAATTACAGGAAGAGAGTTTAAAGTCAGTTTTTGAAGAGTTAAAATATTTTTTTGGAGAGTTAAAATATTTTTATGGCTTTATGGTAGCCACTGTTATGCCATAAATCTCTATTCTTGCAAGTGGAATGCATTCTTTTTGTGCTTAAAATTTTCAAGTCCTTACCTAGAAGACAGGGAAACACTTTAATAAATGATAGAACTACAGGTGAAAAATAATCGGGAATTATGTCATCATTTTATGATTTGTATGTGGACAGAACACATTCTTTCTATTTTGCTGTTCTTGCTGCTAGTAATAAAGTATTGGTCATTATTAACAGGATGAACAAATGGAAGCTTGATTGTTCATGAAAATGGTTTGATAGCAAATTGATCTTGTATAAAAGAGCACAAATATTTTTTGTGTGTACTATGAATTTTATATGAAAACGATTAAAATATTTCAATAAACTAAGATCTTTGGAGAATATGTAAATGCTCAAATCTCTCCCACTTCACATTTCTTTCTATTCAGTGAAATCAACTTGTTTCCCGAGGTTGTGATTCTCATTATAGGCTTACATGCCGTATTGTAACATTTTATATATTATAAGAATGATGAACCAATAAGTGTAAATAATTTTAAGAGGATTGAAACAAAGGAAGAAAGGAGAGGGTGGATCTTAGGTTGTCTGAGAGAATTGGGGCAATTTTGTGACTTTTTTTGGAATTATAAAATAATTGTACCTGAAACTTACAAATTTGTATTAGTTCGAACCTAAAAATGTGAGAGTGGGATATAGATGCCCACATGGTTTCTCTTCTAGCACTGCAGAATTTTTTTAAGGCTGACTCTCTTGGAACAGATACGAATCTCTCTTATGTTAACATAATCATAAAATATCAGTGAGATGGACCCTAATATTTATAAGTATTAGAGATGTGAACAGACCAAAATTAAGCCCATTCTGGCTCTAGAAAATTAAATTGATTGGAACTTTCAGTTTTCAAAGTAAAATTAATTTGATAGAAACTTTCAGTAATTAAGCTCATCCAACAAATTAATGACAGAGAATATCTCTGTCAATTGTGCCAACTGCATTTTTTGTTGTCTACTGTTGCCTCCATTAGTTGACAAAATTTTTTTTCTTGAAAGTACCATAACATTCTCAGTGTGTCTGAATTTTTAAAATTAATGGAGTGTATGATCTCTTAGTTTGGTGGTTGTGATTAAGTGTGAAAATATAGCTTCTGAAAGATACCTGATTCTTCAAGGAATAAATCAGTTTGAATTTGTCAATGGAATTGGTCAGATAATTTTTTTATTTCAAGTCAATTCATGATTTGCCCATATATTAGTAGGTTAAAAGCAGCTATTTAAAACCAAAACTTACTTTTGATTTGAAAAATAATCTAGTAGAAGTCTTTAATCCATTTTGATTTTATTTTGCATATGACAAGAGATAGGGATCTGGTTTCTTTCCTCTGTATATGGATGTCTAGTTTTTCCAGCATCATTTATTGAAGAGACTGCTTTTTACACGGTGTGTGTTCTTGGCATCTTTGTGGAAAATGAGTTCACTGTAGGTGTGTGGATTTGTTTCTGGGTTCTTTGGTCTATATGTCTGTTTTTACATTGCATAAAACTCTTGCATTCAAACAATATAAGGCAAGGACATGCACGAGCAAACATTTCAAAAAAGATTTAAATAAGCTGTGTAAATACTGGTGGGCCTTTGTCTAAAAATAATGGTTACATTTCACCGAATTACACATTAACTCTCTGTTGGCGTGGAATCCATTATTGTTATTTTGATCATTGTTTTTTATATCCCACAGATTTTTCTTTGATTACAGGAGGAAAAATGTTAGATTTTACATAGAAAAATGTCAAGATTTCTTTCAACTACATTGTTCAAAAAAATTTTTAATTAGCTATTTGCTCAAATAGGTAGAGGAAAAACCTGTATCTCTCATTTAATACAGTTGGTCAAGACAATTCTTTCCTTGATGAAGTCTCTACTTGCTTTACATTCAAAGGCAGCACTGAGAAAGCCGCAAATGGCTTTCCTATTTAACCACCTGCCTTGGTGACACAGAATCTGCATCCCAGATGAAGTAGTAGTTGTATAAAAGGGAGGTCCTTATTGTATCAGAAGATCACAGTTTTGCCTGTTTTAAATACTAGGTGGTCCAGGAAGCGGAAAGGGTACTCAGAGTTTGAAAATTGCAGAACGATATGGATTCCAATACATTTCTGTGGGAGAATTATTAAGAAAGAAGATCCACAGTACCAGCAGCAATAGGAAATGGAGTCTTATTGCCAAGATAATTACAACTGGAGAACTGGCCCCGCAGGTACTGCTGTATAATTTTCTTTTATTCTGCAAAATGTTTTCCTACCACTTGAGTATACTAAGTTTAACTGTGGTTTTTTTTTTTCCATCCTTTCTGTTTATAAAAGGAAACAACAATTACAGAGATAAAACAAAAATTGATGCAAATACCTGATGAAGAGGGCATTGTTATTGATGGATTTCCAAGAGATGTTGCCCAGGCTCTATCTTTTGAGGACCAAGTAAGAATGTCTCCTTCTATTTTAAATGGACTATTTTTTTGCTTAAAATTTTGGGAATAAAAACAAAAAGACTTCTTGGAAGACTTGTGGTGCTTTTGAATGAATTCTGGTCTGAAAACAGGCAAATATATCAGTGTGGGTTGGCAGAAGGTCATTTCTTTGGCAAACACTTAAAAATTGAAGACAGTCTCTGCCAAAAGGAAAGATAGCTAATAATAGAATTCTTTTTATTGAAAAATGCAAATCTCTCTAAAATTCATTTCAAAATACTTTTCATACAATTGTTTTTTATCTTGAATTACTAAGAATAAGCCTTATTCAGTACTGTCCAGGGATGCAAAACATTACCCTGTACTTATATTCATGCCAACTAAGGAAACTTTCTTCGGGTTGTGAAATACTGAACCACCTACGTAGATTAAGATAGGGTTCGGTTGCCAGAATTTGAGTAGGCTATGCCTGCTCAACCCCCACCACATCTGTTTTAAAGGAAAATAAATCAATTAAAGTATTTTATATATATATTTAAGCTTTAAAATCTCATGTTAATTGGTTTTTCATTTTAAAAAATTAAGGCTGGACTCAGTGGCTCACGCCTGTAATCCCAACAATTTGGAAGGCTGAGGTGGGTAGATGGCTTGAGCCCAGGAGTTTCAGACCAGCCTGGGCAATATGACAAAACCCCATCTCAAAAAAAAAAAAAAAAAAACCTGAAAATTAACCAGGTATAGTGGCGCACACCTGTAGCCCCAGCTACTCAGGAGGCTAAGAGAGACTGAGAGGCAGGAGAATCACCTGAGCTCAGGACATCAAGACTACAGTGAGCCAAGATGTTACCACTGCACTCCAGCATGGGTGACACAGCAAGACCCTGCTTCAAAAAAAATTTCTTTTAATTACAGAAGTAATATATGCTCATACAAATTTTAAGTCTATCTGTAAAACGTAAAAGTCCATCAACACCCTCCCATCCCACTGCTCCTCCTTTCCTGAGAAATAGGAGTACTGTTAGGTTTGTTATATATTCTTCCAGACCTTTTTCTATACTTACATGCATACATACATGTATGGATGCACATGCTCATATTCAAATGCATTCTAAATTTTCATAACGACTTTTCCAAGTTATATCAATGTTGAATGAGAGTATCTTTTTCTAGAGACCCTTTCCAACCAGATATGATTCATGTGTAAAATTTTTGCCAACCTGATAAGTAAATGGCATTTTGTGTTTTAAACTTGCATTTCTTGGGTTACTATTAAGGTTAAGTATATTTTCATACACTCATTGGACATTTGTATTGAGAATTATGTGAATTGCCTGTTCTCCTTTGCCCATTTTTCTACAGACTTTTAAATATTTTTCTTATTTATTTCAAGGAGCGTTTAACATATTACAGATACCGTATTATACAGTATTAGGTAAAATACGATGTCAGTTTGTGTATCACATGAAAGAAGCCTGGAGTTGGGCAGTTCACGGCCAGGGTAGCTTTACAAAACATTTTTTTGAATGTTCCCATTAACTGTTTTGGATCACCTATTGTGCTAGAATGTTTGCCTCCCCTTCTTAGGTTTCCTCTCCCACCGTCAGTCCAGAGCCTCTGGTGCTCAGTCAGCTTAAGGGCTTGGTTCTAATTGTTCTGGCTTTGAAGAGAGAAAAACTGGAAAATATCTGATGAAGTTTTGTTATTGCTGTTGCTACCACATTATATTCTATTGAAAGCGGGTGCTATGGCAGTCATTCCATGTGATTCTTTGTTATTGGTAGAAGTGTGATAGGCAGGGAGGCAGGCATTGCCACCCAAACCTGGTTCTCCCACCCACATATTGAATGTGCTAAACTTGGTAGGGACAAGCAGATGAAGCTACTTGATTTTTTTTTTCTGTCTATTGCTTTTTAAACATGCTATGTTGAGTATCTTTCTTTTTTGTTGAACAATAACTCAGGACGAGTCCCTGACTTTTCTGGTCACTTAAAAAACATTAACAAAAGATCTCATTTTCAGCTCTTGAAAAGTACAGTCCAATCTAAATCAAAACTTTAATTTCTTATTCACTTTAACATATCTCTGCTGTCCCCAGCTTGGACGAGATTCAGACTCAGAAACCTAAGGTGGTATAACAGAACTTGAAATTCCTACTCATGTGACTTGCAGTAGATGGGAGAGGGAGTAGATGGAAGAAAGGATTCCCTCCTACATAGGGAAGAGGTAGGAAAAGCATAACCCTCTGGTAACTCTCTCTGGATACCTGATCAATCTACATCTTCTTTTATATAGCCTAGTCATAGGTAACAGTACTGATTTGGGGTCTGTTAGCAAATTCTATAGGATGGTCTGTTATCTCTATGTAGAATGTGCAGCAACTTACATTTATTGTTTTCAACCACATTTCTGAGACTGAAAAGGTCCAATTTAACATCTTCTTAGGATGGCATTCTAGCAGCCTGGAGGTTCTTTGCCACTGTGGGCAGTACAGAGGTGTCTGAGGTCGATGTCACCTTTGCTTATCCTGCAGGAGTTAAGCGGGTATGGAGGCAAAGCTGAAATGTTATTGTAAAGCAGTGTCAGGGTCAGCCCTGATGATTCTACACCCTATGTAGGCTTAAGCTTCTGGGGTGTCTTTTTCTGCTACCATTTCTGACACCAAATGTGTGGTCTTCCACACCAGTTCTCCAGTTCTCCAACACCAACTGGGTGCCTAAGAATTCAGTTCAACTTGGACACTATCCAGAGTTAGTTCAGACCCCACAGGTTAAGAGCTCAGTTCCTGGCCGGGCGCGGTGGCTCAAGCCTGTAATCCCAGCACTTTGGGAGGCCGAGATGGGTGGATCATGAGGTCAGGAGATCGAGACCATCCTGGATAACCCAGTGAAACCCCGTCTCTACTAAAAAATACAAAAAAAAATTAGCCGGGCGAGGTGGCGGGCGCCTGTAGTCCCAGCTACGCGGGAGGCTGAGGCAGGAGAATGGCGTGAACCTGGGAGGCGGAGCTTGCAGTAAGCTGAGATCCGGCCACTGTACTCCAGCCTGGGCGACAGAGCCAGACTCCGTCTCAAAAAAAAAAAAAAAAAAAAAAAAAAAAAAAAAAAAAAAAAAGAGCTCAGTTCCACAAGTCTGCTCCTGCTTCAGACATCAGTTGCAAGTCCCAGCAACCACCTGTACTTCTGATTGACGGTGTGGGTTTCCATAACACTCTCCACAGGTTGTATAATTCACTGCAGTGCCTCAGAACTCAGAAAAACACATTTAGTGGTTTATTATAAAGGATACAACTAAATATATATTTTTATTACACTGCATCTTCTCAAGGTTTTGCTTTAACTTAGTTTTTGTTTGTTTGTTTGTTTGTGTAAATATAGGCACATACACACATACCAACGTTTTCCCCAAGATTTCCCCACAGATCTGGGGTGTGAGAAGAGGTGAATTTCTGATGTCAGCCATATATGGGTAATGGTCAGACCACTGTAACAAAAGGGCCTGACACTTAAATGGCTTTTAGGATGAAGAAGTGCATTTTTCGTCTTTTGGAATAGTCTCCATGTGAACAGTCCAGCTTGACTGGGCAGCTTTTTTCCTTGAGATGACTGAGGAACCATGGTTCCTCCCAGGTTTTTCTGCCATCTCCTAGGACACTGTCACTGGCAGGATGGTTGAAACAGGGTTGTCATCACATATGGGTTCCAGCTAGCATGGAAGGGGAAGAGAATGCGAAGGTCTGAAGTCTCAAATCTGGAAGTGACATCCATTGCTTCTGCTCACATGGCATTGCTGAGAATTTAGTCCTGTTGGAATTGGGAGGAAGACTCATGTGACTATTGTCTGTATTATTTAGAGTAAATCCGAGGTGCTACAATAAAAAGATACAATGAACAGTAGCATAATACAGAAACTTGTTTCTCTTTTATGTAATGGATGGCCTCACTGTGAATGAGGGGAGGGCAGTTTCAGTCCTCACATTCATGCAGAGATGCAGGGTTTTTTTCCAGCTCATTGTCCTTCCAACTGTAGAGCAACAGCTCCAAAATTTTTGGTCACGGGACCTCTTTACACTTTTTAAAAATTATTAAGGACCTCAAAAATCTTTCATTTATATGTGCTATATCTGTTGATATTCACCATATGAGAAATTAAAACAAATTTTAAAATAAGTATTTAAGTCCTTCAAAATAATAAATCCATAGAAGTTAACCTGAATGACGTATTTTTAGAAAAGTAATCATATTTTCCAAAACTTAAAAAGTGATGCGAGAGACATTGCTTTATATATTTGCAAATCTCTTTAACTTCTAGCTAATAGAAGAGAGTTATATTCTCATATCTGCTTTTGTATTCAAACTGCTGTGACATCACACTTCCTGTAGCCACTGCAAAACTCCACTGTAGCTTTGTGAGAAAGTGAGAGTAAAAAAGGCACATAATGTCACAGTATTAGCAGGAAAATAGTTTGGACCTATGTCCTTCTGAAGGGGTCTTATGATCCCCAGAGGTCTAAGAGCACAATTTCAGAACCACTGCCCTGGGGCATTGTAGACGTCTGCATGGTGAAAGCTAGGTCACTGCCATGGCCAGGTTCCCGCTGATTGGAAGGGGAGGAGAGTGCAAAGGATATATGCTCAAATTCTTTCTTAAACTTTTTTATTTTAACTTTTGTGAGTACATAGTAGGTATATATGTTTAAGGGGCACATGAGATATTTGGATACAGGCATGCAACGTGAAATAAGCACATCATGAAGAATGGGATATCCATCCCCTGAAGCGTTTATCCATTGAGTTGCAAACAATCCAATTACTCTATTTAAGTTGTTTTAAAATGTACAATTATTATTGACCATAGTCTCCCTGTTGTGCCATCAAATAGTAGGTCTTATTCATTCTTTCTAACATTTTTTGTACCCATTAGCCATCTCTGTCTCCACCCACCGACACACCTGCAACCCCTTATTACCTACCCTTCCCAGCCTCTGATAACCATCCTTCTACTCTCTATCTC